TGACCTAAGTCTTTCTGCAGTAGCTAGGTACTCAGAAGAAACATCTGTATCAACATCAGGTACACCACCACAGACAGACTACAAGCTCCTGAGTGATACTTCAGGCAACCCTACTCCAAAATGAGATAAGGCTGTGAAGTATACTGCTGAATATAGCTCTTGGATCTTCAAGCCTCCAGATGTAAGGGAGATGAAAAAATTATGTAAATGGATTTTGCCAACCTGTTACACAAAGGTCATGACAGAAAGAGGCTTATTTGCTCTTTCCCAGTCTTTCTTATGTGTATATGGCTGTGCACAATAACCTCTCATTTAGTAGTCCTTGCAGAAGAAAATCTCTGCCTTATGAAAATAAGACTTGTTGAAATTGCTGCTTTGCTGATCTCCTGGGCAGTTTTGCCACTGACCTCAACAGTATGGGTATTTTCCTCTTTGGTTATGATAAATGAGGCCAGCAGAAAATTCTCTGAAGGTAACAGTTGCTTATGGACAAAAGAGAACTTGCAGAACATATTTGGTCTTTTCACTATTTTTTTCTGATCTGCATATTCATTTACTAAATTAAGCTGTGTTAAAAATAAATCTGTACTTATGCATGTTAATGTTAGTTTTTAATAGAGAATTTCCATATATTAAATTAAAAACTTCTTTCTCTTGTTTTTTTTTGTTTTTGTTTTCATTTTTCCATAAGGATTACGTCAAAAATTTATTATGGTTTCTTTACAGTTTTCAGCATTTCATTTATGTTTGTATTCAGTGATTTTCATAGGAGCAACTGACAGATGCATTCATAGTGATTTATGTGGAAAGGGAAGCATAGTCACATTAAGCATATAATGAGGGCCCTGGAACATTAGTTTACATTTTGCTGGCAGTCACAGTGGCTTTGGCAGTGGATTTTAGATTACCTTAGCATTCATGTCTAAAACATATGTGATAACTAGCCTCAGCCTTCATCTTACTGTTGATCTTTTAAAACAGTGAACATAAGATAAAGATCTGTTGTGGTTCTCTTCTCAGCTCTTCATAACATTTCATAAATAAGTCAGTTTTAGCATGTTTATATAAATTGATTCCCCTTCTGGGAATGCTGGGCTGTGATAAACAGTACTTTCCAATTAGTTTGTTTTTATAAAAATAGTTGGGGATTACTATTACAGCTAAAAATATTCTAAATATAAGTATTTTCTAAGTCAAGAAAATGTTTTCTGTCTGTTACTGACAGATGAACTGCAAATGCACACTTCTGTTCCCTTCAAAATCAATATTGCAGTCTGTATGTATACAGACTTCTTTTTGACATTGCATAGCAACATGAAGATCTAGACCTGCAACATGGTGCTCACTATCACAAGTCACTGTAACCATAAAGGAAGAATGACTAAGGCCAATGAAACTCTCTTGGTTTGTAATCTCTGCACTTAACAAACATCTACATGATCAGATTCTGTTTTGTCATATTTGCTTTAGAAGTCATTCTGTTGGCTTGCAGATTTGTACATTCCTTTAGATGCCAGCTGTCCTTTTAATTCTCATTAATGATTCATTTTATTTGATTTTGTTGTCAGGCCTAAAAACAATTTGTTTTTTAAATCAGGTCAACTGGTAAATCATTTGCCCTGTAAACTCCTTCAGCAATGAGTAGCATTGGATATATCAGAAAAAGATGTAAGAAATGGTAAGAAATCATTACTTGGAACACAGAAAACTTCTATTTTTTTACCATTACTATTCATCTTGATGATTATATCTTTCTTCAGAATAGTTAACAGAATTGTGGTGATAAATTCTGTGCCTTGACCCCCCACTTTTTCATACCATTGCCCACAGCTTTATGGGAGAGACTGAAGTTCTGAGTGGCCTAGCTCCCCTGCTCACTTTGTAGTAGGTTTCATCCAACAGCAGATGGAATTCCCAAGGCATGTCAATTTAATTTTAGGTTGTGCATGTAGTGCACATGTTGCCAATTACAGTGGTGTATGATGTCTTTCTAGGAAGGAGGTCTCTCTCTCACACTGGGTGAACATGCTAAGGATAAATTTTGCAAAAGTTATTAAATCTGGTCTCAGTCATGTCTTAACAGCCTGCATAAGGACAGGACCATATTTCAATTATTTCTTACTGTCTAGAAATAAGAGATTCCTCTCCTGCTTCTCAGATACTCTCTCAGCAGTAATGCACTCAGACTCCTAGGGAATGGAATAAAATCTCTAGGTTTCAGATGGACTTCAGTGATGATGTTATTATATACAGCTCCATCTGAGCACAGAACTTTAGACTTCATTTGTTAGAGCCCTAGGACCATGGTTCTGAGAAAATTGGGAAACCCCAAAACAGGCTCTCAAACAAGTATTCAGATGGATAGATATATGGCATCAGTTATCTAGAGTAGGGAAAAATACAGAATAACTGGATAAGGAGCATTAGTGTACAAGTTGATCAAAAAATACTGTTGAGTTCAGAACAGCTTCAGACAGCAAATTTGGGAAGAAGGAGAGGGCTGTTTTTCTAAACCAATTCTTTTAGCTATTCGAAGCAGTGGAAAGAACCTCTGCTTAACAGAGCAAGGCACAGTCTCTTCCAAATATTCTAACTGCTGGGCAATTTGGTCTCTCAGATAATTGCATACATTTCTTGTTCTATATTTTATGTTCTAAAAAGACTTTCCCTGTTTTCCTCTATCCCAACAACTTTGGAAGTCTCCACTTCCCTGTATCCCATTGGCCTAGTCCCACAGCCTTGCCAGATCATTGGAGATGTGACTTCAAAACAAAACTGCCACCAGGCTTGCTTTTAGCATGAGGCTGAAAAGACAGCATGATTAACTTTCTGGGTAATATATTCATGATACAACACCCATATATCCCAATTTCAAATAGTTTCCTACAGACATCACAAATGGTTGAAACAATTGCATACCTAATGCTGTTATTTCTTTATCAACATATGGGATAAGACATTTTTATGATATAAAAATAAGTTTTAATTGCTCATTTTTAGCTGTACATTCATAAATTCCAGCTGGTTTCATAATTAGAGAGTAGTCCCTCACCCATTTGAACTGCTGGCACAGATACAGCTTCAGAAGCATATTATCTAAAGATCTAATGGTTTATTACTCATGAGCAGTTCAAATGCATATATGGTTTGAGCAGCTCAAACCATATATGATTCCTGCTGTCCTGGCCAATCCAAGTTAGGCTCATGGAGTTCAAACCTATAGCCTGAACTTTGCAGTAGGAAAAAGCATTAAATTCACATATGCAAAATGTAACCCATAGTCCAACCAGCTTACACAGAAATAGTAGCTACAGAATACTAACAAAAAGCAGAAAGATAGATATAACATGGGTGAACATATGAACATACATATATAAATGTAAAAACTTATATTGAAAATTCTATCACCATTAATGTATGTTATCTCTTCTTTTCAAACTGCTTTTTGGAACAACAGCTTTGGTGTGGACATTGACTCAAAAACAAATTCTGAAACATCAGGCTTAACTTTAAACCCTTCAGCATGATCATGAATTTTGCTTCTCTATTTATTTGACACTTGCAAGATGCTCACTGGCCTGTGTCTGAAAATAAAGAAGAATAATATGACAACTGTCTTCTGATTTACTGACATGAGATGAGCAACCAAGTACCATCTAGCAAGCATGTGAGTACAGTAAACTAAGCTTCACCACTGCAGCAAACTCTAACTCTAAAATCTACACTTCCTTCTGCCAAAAGACCCCTTTCCATAAATCCACAGTTTCACAAGAATAAGGGCAAGATACAAAATATGTTCAAGTGCAACTTGAACCTGAATCGGCTGGAATATGAGAAGAAACTGCCACCCACACACAGTTTGCAAGCAGGAAATAAGATCCAATAGTTTCATTTATTTATATTTATTTATTTTTAAGTATCTGTATTGTCTATCACCAGACAAAGGGTGTTTGTGTGTTACTCTGGGGAAAATGGTGCAATTAATTTTGAATACAAATATATTTCTGCTTTTTTCATTAATTAATCTTTGAGCCATGATTTCCATGAATTTTTGCAGCACAATGTATTCAGAAACATCAGATTTGAAGGATGCATATGTGAGTATTTGGGAAACCCAGAACTGCAAAAATCTTCATTGGAAGTACTACTCACACATCTACTCAAGGAAAAGGAATACTGCCAGGCAGACAGTCCAACCAGTGATAGCTTGAAAAGCTATAGCTTGAATAGCTTGAATTACTAAATATTGGCTGTCCACAAACTATTTACATAGCAAAGATCATCTGGATAATATAAACATTTTAATACTCTCAAACAGCATATTTCTTCATTAATTTGACTAATTTTGTATTATGTTTTAAACAAACATTCTGAATATATTCCTTTTTTTTTATCAACTTTTGCCAAACTTTGGCTACAGATTGTTGTATCTAAGTTACAGAAGTAAACATTGAGCCAAATAGCATATGGCTGGATATGCTGTGAGCACATAAACATCAATAGTAAATGAAAACAGTGGACAACACAAATAAAAAGTTTTGGTTTATTTTCTTATTCATCCTCGATCACAAGTGCTGTTGATTTTCGTGTATCTTCAAGACACTGTATCTAGAACACTGTCTTCAAGTGGAAAGACATGTGACCATTAACACTGTGAGCTCTTTCCATGCCACAGATATAAGAAACAAGAAAAGAGTTGTAATTTGAGATATTATGAGATGATCCATACGATAAAGTAGTCAGACAAGTCTGCAGTGCAATCAGCTCCCTATACTAGTTATTTTAAAGACAACTCACATTTTGCAGCAAATTCCCCTCCAACAAACCATTCCTCACTTCACATCAGCAGAAAAAGGGGAAGGGTTTAATCATAAATTACTTCCTTCAACTAGTTTGTCAGCATTTTGAAGGACTAATCCTCCCCAGGAGTTCCACATAGGTCACAAATAAATAAATAAATAAATACATACATGAAAGCAGCCAAGGAAATAAGCATATACCTCTTCACATGTGCATGTTCAGAAAGGAATTTCTGCCATCACCAGTGCTGATTGCAAGGATGTCATGTATTCTCAACAGGACTTGGTAACTCTTGCTCCTGACAGCAGCAATATAAAACAAAACAGAGATTGATGCATACAATTTTGGAAAACAAAAGCCCCACTTAGCATGTCTTAACCACTTTTGTGTATGCTAACATGTTAACTCATCAGACTACCTGATTTAAAGCAGGCCAGAAAGAGTGACATGGCCAATAACATAACTAGGTTTATTGTTAAGAACCCCAACTTTTAAATAATTAATTAATGTAAAAAAATAAAAATTGCAATAAGACTCTAATTGATACTTTGCTTTTCCTTTTTGTTTAAAGAGAATAAATATTTCAGAAATCAATTAACGTAATCATTTGTTAGAAGTCCAGTTGGGTGTCATTTTGCCATAGCCACACTGTTATACACCTGTTTTCTTCTTTAAGTATTTTCCTTGTATCTAAAAAACACATGCTTCCCTTCCAAGCTTGCAGAGTTCTGATAATCACAGACGACCTGTCTTATGTTCCCATAAAGAGTAACATGATAATGCACAATGTTATGTTTATCACCAGCTGGTAAGGACAAAGAGTAAGTAACAAGGTTTAATGAGAAAAAATATTTATACTTTTTAACCTTGCACAGGTTATAAATTCAGTATATGTTAATTTATAAGTCTTTTGCATGTATGTAGGAAGAAATGCTGCAGTATTTTACATACTATTCAAATCTCCAAATGTAGTGAATAATTTCACTATAAATACATTTAAACTATATTTCTACATATACTATCCTTCATTTATGCAATGCCTTTTTGTTTCTATAAACATGCAAATTGTTCGTACAAGGGCATTTCACTCTGAACTTTATGCAAACTGTTCACTTTCAATCTGTTATATAAAACGTGTTACCTGTGTTCCAATAAGTCATTCTGCAATGAGTTTTTGGCTCTGATTCAGGAAAGCAGCCTTTTTAAGTACCAAAATTAAGGCATTTGCAGATATATTGAATCTAATTGTTTTGATTTTGTGGTTTTCTGCTTTCATACCTAGATAACATACAAAAAAATAATAATAATGTCAAGGGGAGGGGAGAATCTCCTCTGAAGATATCCACTCACCACACACAAGAAATAAAATATTATTTATATTAAGTATTATTATTTTTGTTGGTCCATTGAGATTTTCAGTTATCAGTTCAAACTAACAATGAATAAGCTTTCTTTCCTCAAAGCAACCTTCCTCAAAGCAAGAGATCATATGTGAAGAAAACAGTATCTGTGATCTGAATTCTGCAACTCTTTTTATTTTTAATGATCTTCTTGGAGTGTACAACATAATATATCAGTATTATAATGACTACAAAACTTTCCACATTTCAATCTAATCTCTGAATTTTATATTGGCATGAAAACCAAATACAGAAACACAAAATGCAGTTGACATTACCTCTCTTACCCCTACTTGAAACTCAGGCTACTTGATCTTTTGTGATACTCCAGCTGTCTTTCTCTATAATTGTGTTTTCATTACAGCAGTTGTGTTACATTGACTCATAAGGCTGAATGTCTGAATTAGGATTAGAGCCAAATATAGAGCTGCTGTGCCACAGCTCCCTCAGCAGAGCAGTGAATGATGCTGACTGACTGTATACTTTAATATTAGTGAATCTATGGCATTCATTTATTCATAAAAAGACTGTGCTATTGACCTAGTTTGTTCATTAAATTAATTGAAGTTGGAGAACCTAAAAAGAAAATCCTAGAGAGGTTTCATTTCTGTGCCTACTTGGTTGGATCAGTAACTCCTTTTATTTTCATTTCTTTTCTCCTGGCTCTATAACAGGATGAATTTGTTTTAGATTATTTTCCTATTAACTAAAATTTCCCAGAGGTTCCTGGTATTTGCATTCAGCTATTTCAGTAGCAGATATAACATTGTACTGAATACACCATCTACTGAAATGATGAAGTCGTAAGGAAATCAGACACATGTTCCTTACAGATGTTTGACCTAAGGCATACTGGAGTTGCCAAATCCACCTTTGGGTCACACTCTTCTCCATCTGGAGATCTACAAACATTGGGCCAAAGGAAAAGAGTGATTTATAAACTGGGTAGCCCTACTAAAGTCAACTAACAATCTTGAATTTAAGTGCCAAAATCAGTGCTGTAAGTGCTAAGAAATTGCAGCCAACAAAGACTTCAGTTGGGACTTTCTGGCACTCTATCTCTGAAAACTGGGACACTGTGAGTTTGGTGCTTACATGTTAAGTTTAAAAGTGTGGTTTTGGAGTCCCAACTTCTAAATCCATATTCACACCTCCACGTTTAGCCAGTCATCTCTTGATCTTTTGTCTTCCATATTCTATTAATTGGCAGGAATAGGTCAGAGAAATATATGATTGCTGCACAGACTTATAGCCAGTTTATCTACTTGGCTGCTTGGCTATGGGATTGCATGCAAGCAGGTATTCCTATCTGGGCTTTTTCTCTTGTTCATTGTTCGGTTTCTTCTGATGAAACTAATGACTCTCACAGGATCACTACCAATAATGAGAGCTTTACCTTCATGATCAAGATCTATACATATTAATTTTACTTTATCAAGATCTCCATCCAAAGGAAGCTATACACTGCATCCCAGGAGAAAAATAAAATAAAATAATAAAGTGTCATTCACCTGTGGCTGAAAAGTCTCTCATCAAATTGGCAGACAACTCTATAATAGATGGTTCCCCTTTATGACCACACTCAGAAGCCACAAAAGTCCTAATTAATGTAAGATTTCAGTAAAAATGACAGCATTCTTAAACTGTAAAGTACCAGAGGAAAAATGCAGAAGACTTCAAAGGTCACGAGGGCTTTGAGTAAATGGTACTCAGCACCAAGTCCCCCCTGCTGACTGTTTTACAAAGAGTGTAAATCTTTGCAGAAAGTTTGTGTTGTTTTCATAACGTGATAATCAGGCTGATACCAGTTCAGTGGAAAGGTTGGGTTCAGGAATTCTCCATCTCATTTCTCGTTCCATTTTCTTTAACTGATGCAGTTTATTTTATTAAGTTTTATAATTTATATATTTTATTAGGTACATTGGAAAATTAAGGGAGCTCTGAGACATTGATTTAAACATTTCCTTTACAGTGCAGGAAAAAGGGAGTTTGATGAAAGCACTGTGTCACTGGATGTTCTTCCTTCCCCATTTCAAAAACCCAGTTTTCCTTTTTGCAGCACTTTGAAATAGACTTATTAATCCACTGAGGGAAATAAACAGCTGGAAGTAAACATTTCCCAACTGCTGGAGAAACGCTAACTGTTTCCTATGTCATATCCAAGTGGTCACCAAATAAATGCATAAGGGAAAACCAGTTCTTGGCCTGAATCTATGCCTGTGATAATGAAGAAATAACAGTAGAGGGTTAGCTGAGTCATTCTTCTTTATGGATCATCAAGTATCCAGATTCTTAATTATTTATTGGTTGCTAAGACCAGCAGCCAACACTGTTCTCAGTGCTGTACATGGCATCCTTCACCACAAAGTCTAAATTTGGCATACCAATGTTATCCAGCAACTCACTGAATGTTCAATAGACATCCAAAAATTCTCTTGGTGGGTGGCACAACCCAGAGCTGTTTGTAAAATGTTGAAGAAGATATTTTCCAAGAGAAGTATATTTTAAAGAAAAATCCAAAAAGAATGGGCACAATAGGCACCAGAAGAATTAACCAGAAGTTCCTAGGAAGGTAATGAAAGGCATTCTTGAAGGTCTATGAATACCACGTTGCACACCTGTTCTGCTACATATTATGTTATTTTACATATGCTTTTCAAGAATGCTCACATAAACCAACACGAACAGCTGTGTAAAGAAACCGATAAGAACCTGTAAGCCCAAAGCCAATATAGACTGAACATATACAAATAAAATAAAAATTTTAAAAATATATAAAAAATAAATAAAAAAATAAAGTTGCTCTAAGGGCAAATATGCATATATATATATATTATTTTGAGTGCAATAAGGAATTTCTGTAATATTCAAATCAAACAATTATGGAATAAAAATAAGAGTGTGTCCAGTCCAATTAGCTGTCCATGAAATGAAACCCAGCTTCCCCCCCCCCCCCCCCCCCCAAAAAAAAAAAAAAAGAGTCCATCCTTCAGGCCTCATGATACTGTGGTCAGCCACATTAAACAATGAATACATCCCAGTCAGACCAGCTGAGTGTCAGACTGGACGAGTTACCAGCATAAGGCTACAGGTGATCTCTGTACACAGGTGAGACAACCAACAGAGAAGAAAACCTGCAAGATAGAGGTGGCTGTGCCTTGACCTGAAACACTGAAGTAGCCTCAGCAGCCTGCGGAAAAAATGTGGGTGTAGTATTTGTGAGCTCTGAAAATGAAACTAATAAGCGAGGGAAGTGTCTGGAAGAGACTTTTCCTGAGAAGAGAAAAAGTCCAATAGCCCTAGATAGTTAAGTACTGTTTACATCCCAGTTAACTCTTTGAAATGTGGTACAATGCCTCCTCTGGACATGTGCCTGACCAGCCTTGTGACTGTGGTAGGTAAGGAAGGACAGCAGGGTCATGAACACACTGATCACTATGTACTTACTCCCTTACTCCCCGTGTGCATTTAGCACACAGACCTCTCCTACCTGGGATAACTATATCTAAGATTTGCTTTTACTTATTTTAATGTTTACATATTGGGAAATTTTGTCCTCTGTCCTCTGAAACTACACCTGAGACTTTTCTGTAGCCTGGAGCCGAATGTCTGGAGATAAATAGATAAATAGATAAAGGAAAAAAAAAATGGAATTTATGAGACGTATATAAATTGAAATGTCTTCACATATATTTGGAAGAAAGCCATGTAGTGTCTGGACAACTCTTGAAAGGAAAAAAAATAATTGTTAAATAGATTAATCATTCCCCCAAAACATCTGATTTGAGCAGCCCCAGTTGAAAGCCAAAAGGCCAGAAATGAAAAATGTTTTGTTTTTCAGTAGCCATTCTGTCAGAAACTATAATGCTAGCATTTAAAATAATAAATAAATAAATAAAGTATATATTTGGTGCAATATCACAGAATAGCAGACTATCACAGCCAAAAAATCCAGACAGGTTTTCTAAACCAAGAGCTTGACTGATCAAATGAAAGCATACTATCAATTAATATATATCAATTATATAGTGCTGCTGTGATCAAAAAGACTGTGAATAAGTGTTTATGTATATTTATATACACATCTTTCAAATTCTAATACAATTCTTCAGACTCTATCAAGTCTTTCAGAGAATCCCTGAATATACCAACTGAATTAATTTCTGTGCACTTTCCAGTATTAACCCTGATTTCAAAGTACTGCAGAATAAAGCATTAGGAAGTTGTGGGGAATGATGAAAAAGAAAGAATATATACAGATAAGTCCTCATAGAGATCATTTGAGTGTGGATATGGGAAGATCTATCTGGGAAACAGGATACAATCTCTTAGTTTCATGACAGTAACCATGATTGAAATGCTTTAGTAACAGAAATAGAAAAATTTGTTTTCACATGGATTTTGTAAAACAAAAAATAGATCTCCACAAAAGTCTGGTCTGGTACAACTGCAAATTCTATTATTCAGAAGAGGAACATCTAATGCCTCCCAATACACAACCTATGTTGTGAAAGCCTTTATTTTTAAAAGCTATTTGTATGTGCATGCAGAAGATCAAGGCTATCTTGTTGCTTATGTAGGAATAAATCAGTGACCAGTAATGCTGCCACCTTTGTCATGTTTCCAAGCTTTTCATTCACCTGCGGTCACCTCTCATTCAAAGATGCAATACCAATGAAAATATAACACTAACAGAAACAGAATCAGACCTTGGTATGCATTAAGAGATCTTAAACAGTGTGTCTTGTCCAAAAAATAATGGATTTATATTTGAAAAGTGCCCAAAGGCCACCTACAGAAGAACTGGTCTTACCTCACTGAGTCATCTAAGGCTAAGGCTTAGGCAGAGAAATCATCCTCCATAGGAAGATTACCCAATACTAAAACCATGGCTACAGAGAGCCTCTCATCTGTCTTGGTGGAGGAAGAAACATCCTTTTTGGTGATTTACCATGGTTTCATCAGGTGTAACTGGCATTGGAATTACAGACCCAGAGAGCTGACTACAGGGAGATGAGAGCCGGAAGCAGCAGAACTGTATGAGCATGATGTGGAATCTAGAATAACTATAACTAATTAAGAGCAGAGCCAAACAACTCCACCACAGCACCATGCTGAACCCACTGTTCTGCTTGCAAGCCTCATGCCAATATTCCTGCAGAGTGCTGCTCTCTGTTGTGTAAACATGTCTGCTAGGTACCCATGGCACAGCACTGCATGTACCAGCATGGGCAAACAGAATTCCGTTGAAAACTAACAATATATTTCAGTAGCTGGGGTTGATTTTATATACTGCTGGATGCTGAGTGTACTTCAGCTGATCCTTAGGTTTAAATAAGGTACACCTGACTGTATTAAACATGTCAATGGTTTAGCATGCATCTCCCAGACTCAAAAGTGTTTCTTTCTAAGACAAGGAAAGCTCCCTTCACTGCTGCAGGTCTCTGAGCAGTTAAATATATATAGGGCCAAACTCAGTCCTCTTAAAACCCAATTGACTTCATACAAAAAGCTCCTATAAAGATGACTGATGTCATTGGAGTCCCACCAAGGATGAATTTGGCCCATGACATTCCTCCTGTTTAGTCATTGGATAGGAATTCAGGGAAGAAATGCATTCTGGGCTGTAGGACTCCATTTCTCAACAAATCTGCCAGGGCTGAAAAGGAAATACACGTGAACATAAATTTGTCTTGCATGCTCTATTAGATCTCCCAGATCAGCCACTGCTTTCAGCTGTCCAGGTATAGGTTACATATGATTGGAATAGCTCCTTTCACTACAGGAAGATTGAGCAGGAGTTTATACAAGAGTGTGCCAGGTCTCTTGGGAGCAAAAGCAGCAGCATTATCCCCATTTTACAGATGACAAAACCAAAACAGGTAGCTGATGTGATTTGCTTCAGCTCACAGGTGGTGACAGAGGTAGAAGTGGTATTGAAACTCAAGTACTTATGGCTCCTGGCCACTTAGGCCATGTATTCCTGTGATATATCTTCATAACTTCCCTCTCCTTTCCTCATCTCCCTTCTCCCCTGCCCCCAACCCCATCAGAATTATCTGTAGCCACACAACTAGGAAGCTGGGATTAATCCATCCCAGAGAAACTGGGATTAATATACAATTCATGCAGAACCTTTTTACAAAAAAAAAAATAATAATAAAAAAATCCATGATTTCTGGTCCCCTTTTCAGAGACATATGTAATCCAAAGCTGAAAAGTAAGCATTTGCTGTTCCAGTACACATTCTGAGAGATGCTTATGCTCTGTTTCATGAACGTGCACTGTGAAGACCCCATTTGACACAACTCCTTCCTGCATCCAGAAGAAAACCAGGCTGAGAAGGCTGTGCAGAATCAGGCTGTTGCAGAGTAGTAAGTTTATGGGCAGAAAAAGAATGACTGGAATGCAAAAGAAAAGAGAGAGAAGGAGATGTGCCAAGACATCTCTACAATTTCTCCTGGAAATGGAAATGGTTAAAAAAAAAAAAAAAAAAAAAAAAGTTTCCCTTTTAAATCTTGCAGGAATATACAACTCTAGATCTCTAGTCAGGTGCCTTGGTTTTTACTCTTGCAAACCATTCAATGATATTTTTATGATGAAAAAGCTAAATTTAAAGCAACTGTGAAAACAGAATCAAGAATCATCTCTCAGTTGGCAGATTGAGGCCTATGCAAGTTTTATTCACTGCATGAATGTCAAAATAAAACACATGCAAAGAGAGAAAAGAAAAGAAAAAAAAAAAAAAAAAAAAAAAAAGAAGAAGAAAAAGAGATGAAGAAGGAGAAGAAGAAAAAGGAGAATGGGGAGGGAGGTAATTAATCATTGAAATTATTTGTGACCCTGATTCAAAAGACACTTTTCCTGTATAATTCCCCTCATTTATTTTGGGGTTAGTACGATTTATCTCTTTTGACTGTTGTGATTTCATCTGTTCTTTGCTTTCCTTTGAATTACTGCACTGATACTGCCTAGCAAAATTCAAAACACTGGAAGGAATAGGCGAACTATTCACCAGTGAAGCTGAGAGCATGACCAGAGAGATAGCCTTTTTTTTTGCACAGGGAAGAAAGAAGCCTTCTGGGAAGAGGAAATGCTCACACATGTACATTTAATATAAATGACATTAAGAGGCTGTGTCCATCCTGTGCTCGGTATGCCTATGTAATTTTAATACATCTGTAAATCTGATTATGTCCATTCTTTTTATTTATTTATTTTTTATTGCACATAAAAATGCATGTCCAGGGAAAATCTTGGCAGGCAGATAAGCAGGCTTCAGCCATACAAATGAATCTCTTCTCATGCCCAGCTGGGAGGAATGGTTTATCCACCTTCACGACCCCGCAGTTATAATGGTTCCCATGAACCGCTGACTGATGCGGTTTCTTACCTCTCTCCACGGGTGTTTCGTTATCCCGGTGTTAAGGAGGTGGTGGAGCGACCGTGGGAAAGCCTCAGTGTAGTGACCCTCCCTGCGTTCCTTCCTCCCTCCCTTTGGAGCCGACTCGGAGAGCTGCCTCGTAGTCACGACCCCTGAAAAACTGTTGGCTCCAAAAGACAGAGCCCTCCGCTTTCCCGCTCCGCCACTGGACCCTGCGTGCACGCGGGTTCCTTTACTCCATGCCATAAACGACGCGAGACTGTAAAGCGGCCGTAGAAGTTCATCGGAGACTTTCTCCGTGAATCTCCTTCTGGAAGAAGAGAGGGGAGAAGGGGGGAAGCGGGGGGGGGCGAACCACCCAGTCCTTAGGCTGGCAGTTAACACCGCGCCAGCGCTCGGGGCTGCGTGTCCGTGGCCGGAGAGGCGCAGGGTGCGGTGCCTCTGACCCAGCAGCGCCGTATGCCGGCGGCAGCCGGGCCCGGACGGCGCGCTGCGTGCTACGAGTGGACTTCCCCAAGCAAAACTGTGCAGACAGAGACCTGCACGGCGGTAAGGCGGCCGCTCCCGCTGGACTCGAGCAAAACGATGCAGATAAACCCAAGGAGGGCTTCAGAGGCAGAGCAAATCCTCCTCTTCCTCCCCGCCCCCCCCTCCTCCCCCCAAGAGACGCGGTCGATAAAACGCAGACCGATCCGGACTGACAGCGCACGGCCCCGCGCAGCAAAGGGTCCCGCGGAGCGCCGCGCAGAGCACCGCGCTCCTCAACTCACTGTGGCATCTACAATGCTGCCGAAACGCAGGCTTCCCGCAGGCTCGGGTGATTTCGCCTCCGCACTCTCCTTGTTTATTCCGAGTGGTTGTTTCTCAGATGCCTTTTAAGACAAAACCAAAAGCCTTTACGCGGAGCGGAAAGGGGGAGGCGGTGGGAAGCAAAGCAAAAGCAAGCTGGCTTCAAACTCGGACTGTTCCCACAGCCTCCGAAGCTGGATGAACGCAGAGGAGTCATCCCAGTACCCTGCGTTTCTCAGGGGCCTTCCTACAATGAAGGTGGACTCTGCAACCCGTCCAGCAAGTGCATTTAAATTAATTACGATGCGCACGAAACGGTGTCCAATAAATAATAATAATAATTTTTAAAAAAGGGTGAGGGGAGGTTTCTTCCCTCTCTCCCCTCCTTACATTAAGAGAAATACAAACGCAACTTTTTTCCCTGTCGTTGATAGGATTCCTTGACCAAATAAAGAAATATTTTCTAAAGGCAGAACAGGGAACGGGGTAAGGAACCTCTTTGGACTGAGAGGCTTGCGGCATCAAGCACCCGATTTTCGGAAACGCAAAAGCCACCAGTGGAGGTCCGTTGTTACTTCGGACGTGTCACCGTGCTAATTTGCAGGAGGCTTTTCTTATCTCGGGGCACTGACTTGTGACAGGAGAAGAAGGTTTAGGGTTTACCGAGAAGACTAGAAAGGACGGCAAGAGGCGCTTCAAAGGCTAAGGCGGATGCCCCCGCTCTGAGCTCTCTCCCCCGTCTCTATCCGAAGAGGTTTCGCAGTGGAATAAACATCTCTGATCTAAGACAGCTGCCGGGAATCAAAGGCCGCCCCAATAAGCGCTATATCGGCCGAAGATGCGTCTGAAAAATGCCCACTCCCGACAAGCTAAGAGAAGGCCGCTCTCCGGCAGAGCCTTCAGGCTGTGAAAGAAGTAACAGTTTGCCCATTATTCATCTGATTTGTTTTATAACACTTCTGACACCTAATCTTATCAGCTAATACCCAAGATTTAGTTACCCAAGACGATTTTTTTCCACACTGGAAGCAAAATTATTTGACTCCCAACAGTTCTGTTTACTTTTGTTAGCCTTTAAAAAAGAAAAAGGAGGGGGGGATGAGAGGGGAGGGGGGAAGGGGGGGAGGAAAGGGAGGTAGGAAAGGAAAAAAAAAAAAGGAAAAAAGGAGAGGGAGAAAGTTTATGCATTAAGGAAAAATACAGACTTTCCAAGACTGGTAGAAACAAGCACTGAGGAAATATCAAGCTCACTTGGAAAAAAAAAAAAAAAGTTCTGAATATTGATAGAGAGGGTTTGGTAAGGGGGAGATCTGAAACCAAATGAACACATATGAAGTCCGTGCAGACTTGCCTGTAAAATAACGATTTATTTTAATACTTAAAAAACACACACAATCCAGTGATAAATGTCAATTACCAATAATCAGCATAAAGTGCCAAACAGCCATACAACTTTTTTTTTTTTTTTTTTTTTAATAAACAAAACTTATTGGAATGTCTCTTAATTTGAATACACTGTTCAGAAAGCCAGCATTTAAAAAAATATGCTCTCAGGTTGAGATTTGTTCTGTCTCATCAAGATGCATGAAGACTTTAAAGTACCACTAAAACCACGTTGTGCATACCATCAGTTTGACATATTGCCATCTTTCTTTCCTTTGGGATTTTTTAAATAAGTCCACGCATTACAAACCTCCTTGCAGCACACTAGACCGCAAGGCAAAAATAAAGGTCTCCATGTCCCAAGAACACTGATTTGTCCTGATACCAGGGACCTGCGGGTCTAAGATCTGGATTCATTTTCCATCACTTTATAGGACTCTTCACTTGAGAGTTTTAGGTCATTTCCAAACATTAATTTTCTTCTCCTTTTAAGAAAACAAAATAGCAAGTCGCCCTTCTTGTTCTAATGGTGCTGTGATGAGAAACCACAGTTTCAGTTCTTAATCATCTTCCGGAATTCTCTGTATTTCCTGAAGTGTAAAAATAAGAAGCTTTATACAGTCAAAAAAAAAAAAAAGTATAAAATAAGAGTTTTTTTTTTCTTTTTCTTTTTAAGTAATACTTTTGGAATCTACGATTTCAGGTGGGGTGGAGGGTTGTTAGGATTTTCTGTGGGAGTATTTTTGTGGATTTGTTGGTTTGTTTGTTTGTTTTTTGGTGGGTTTTTGTTTGGTTTTAAACAGATTCCTGTCCAACACGTGAGCACCACCTTTTGGCATAAAGTTTATCAAAACCACACAAATCACATAGCACTTTCTGCATCATTCATGTATATTTTAAATGCCAAATATCATTTTAACCCATGGCTGAAGAAGTGGGTTGCCAGGGGGGATTTTGCTCTTTTTAAACTACAAACAAAAACAAACACAAAGTTCTGTGCTCCCATCCTGACAGGATTTGTTTAGTTTGTCTTTTTTTCATTTTTCTTTTTTTTTTCTGGTTTTGGTGTAAAGTCTGAAGGGGAGGAAAAGTTCATAGAAGCTGGAAATTCAGCACTTAAGTTTGGCAGGTTTCAGTTCCTTTACTTGCGTGTGCAGTGTCTTGTGGACAGCTAGCGTTCTGGACTGGCAAAATCCTTTCCCACATTCTTGACACTTAAAAGGCTTTTCTTTAGAATGGATATATCTAGGAAGAGAAAAACAATCAAGATGTCAGAAACAACTGGCCTGAACTCAGCAGTGATCTTACTTGATGGAAAACATGCTGGAGATTTTTACACCTACCACTGAGACTGAGAGCACCAGAGTGCAACACTAGGGTAATCAACTGTTTGTGAGGGCAAGAAGAGAGGGCGATGTCAGAGGTGCACAAGGGTGCCCTTCTTAGGGACAAGGAGCTTCCCTCTAACTTTAGGGTCACCAGACTTAGTGTCTTCATGACACTTCTAAATGATCTAAATGTAGAGGGTGCAAAATGAGGGTGAAAATATCTGTGGAAGCTAAGGAGACTGTGCAAGTCATCTCTGCAGGGTGGGTGAGTACAACAGGCTTGTCTTACAAAGTGACTTTTCTGGGTTTCTCTACCAGTACTGAATAGAGAAAAACATGGAAGGATCACTGCCGTGGGACTGGGGATGCGACCTTTCTAACAAGCACCTTTACAACTGTAGGTGGGTAACTGGGAAAGCACAGATACAAAGGGAAAACAGCAAGGAGAATAGTTACCTGTGATCCCTCAGGTGATCCTGTCTTCTGAAGGCCTTGTGGCATATGTCACATGTGTAGGGTCGTTCATCGGTGTGGGTTCTTTCATGGATCAAAAGGTTGTAGGACTTGGTGAAGTGCCTGCCACAGAATTTACACACAAACTCCTTCTTGGTTTTGGAAGGTAACCTTCCCCGTGTGGGTTTCTTCTCTGGAGAGAGTTTAGTCACCTCAAGTAAAGACCCCAGCCCTGGGGGGGAGCCCTGGCTGTCCACCTGTCCCAGTTTAGAGTGGTCCTCTTGCGTGGCAGCCACTGCTAAATTGGCAAAATCAAAGCGAGGTTTGGCTTTGAGGGTCACATTAGTAGCCTCTTGCTTGGGCTGGATGACGTGTGGAAAGAGTGGGAAGGTGGGCAGCTGGAATCGTGCATCCACTAGGCTCGACACGCTGGGCACCTTGGAGAAGGAGGAACGAGGCAGATGCATGGCTGGGTACCCCAAAGTCCACTGGTGCAGGTGTACGGCGTGAAGGGCGCTGAAGCCATAGAGGTTGGAGAGGTGATCAGAGGGCACAGCGGGAAGCCCATTGAATGCTTGCAAGAAGGAGTAGTTGGTGAGCTGGAGGGAAGGATGGATAGGCACTGGGGCCGGCAGAGTCTTACTTCCCATGGTGGCTGTTTGGGACGAGGATCTTGGGAACAGGGGAGGAAAAGATCTGGAAAATAAAAACGGGGAAGAGAAGAGGAAGAAGTAGATTTATACAAAGAAATGGGTATTTCTCACCTCATCCTTTATTAATTCCCCTCTCCAAAGCCACAGGAAGAAGTTGCTTTGGACTTGGAGAGGCCCAACCAGTTCTTGGCTGTGAGTGTATCCCCACAGGTCTCCAGAGTCTCCTTCTCCCCACCCATCACACACAGAGGGTATGCCCCATCTGCAGTCATTCACTCCCTCAACAGCACTTGTGTGCCAGGTATGCCCCTGATGAACATCTGCACTTAGACAGCAAGAGATAATATTTTGGACCATATAGGTAGATGTTCTCCAACAAAACTAAAAATCCCTTAGTAGGTATCCCTCAGCCTTTCTCAAATGGTAGGATTTTGCCCACTCGGTCTGTCTCCCAAAATTGTCTTTATTCCTGACTGTTGAGTTTATGCAGGGAGTGGGTGCTTAGTTCCTGGTTGCTCATCTCCCCATGGTCTTCCCTCAGCCAGGCCTCTGCCTCTGGGGTGGTGGAGGCGGTAGGGTGCTCAGAACTAAACATCCTCCCCCATTCAAACAGAGAAAATACACTAAAATATCCTGGGGGGAAAAAAAAAAAAAAAAAAAGAAACAAACAACAGCTCTCCGTCTATATACTGCAAAAAGAAATGGGAAAATGCTGCTTCTGGGTGACAAATCTGAAGTGCCATTTGCTCTCCCCAGGGGGAAGTGCCTGGCTTTAAGCCCATGTCCTAGTCTAGGCAGTCGCTTAATTAAAGCCCTTCACAAGGGAAAAAGACAACGGCTGGAGGGACCCTACCCGCAGGAATACCCAGCCCACCAGCTGCAGGGCCGCAGGGCCACAGCCCTTCTCTTGACTGGGTACCACCACTTTGCTCTATGTTTCGGGGTCCTGCCAAGCCCCCAGCCTCTACTCTGGGCCAGATCCCTACCCATTCCACCCCACAAGGCGGAGGGGAAAATGCTACCAGACAGCAGCATCGAGGCGCATCTGGCCCTGCCTGCAAACTGAGCACTCAGCACAGCCCTGGCTGCTGTCAACCATTTGGCAGGAGAAGCCTCCTTAGGGCTGGCAGAGGGGACAGAGCCTACCCTTTTTGTGGTGTGAGAGAGCACCCATGGGTTTTAGAAGCACCGCATCCCTGCACCCCTGGGAGCCTCCTTATTCCACATCCCAGAGCTTATGCTCCTTTCTCCCGGTGATTTCCGGGATTTGTCCTCAGTGGGGCTCCTTTCCTATGGGATCCATATAGAGTGCCCACAAGTGTGCCTATATGATTCTTCATAGGATCCCTGCAGGATCCACACAGGGTGCCATAAAATCCTGTCCAGGGCTCCTGCTGAGTATCTTTAGGATCCCTGCAAGATTCCCACAGGGTCCCTGTAGGATCCCCGGGGCACTCAGCCTGAGGAGGTGCATTCCCACAGGAGGAGTGAAGCCCCTTTGGAGAAAAGGAGGCAGCAAAGTGCTGCAGAGCAAAGGTTGTCTCCCCGGGCTGGGGAGATAGGAGGAACAGGACAGAGAAGCACTGGTGACAGAAGAGTTCTAATGACCAGGGAAACAAATCTGATTTATATTTGGGCTGTAGCCTGGACTGAGGAGCTGTGACTGGAAGGGTGTGAGAGCAAGAAACTTACTCTGAGCGGCCCTGTACACCATGTCCACCTTTCACACCGCTTTACATAAATCAGCAGCAGGAAGAGAGACTCAAACTTTAGTGGAATTCCATCGCAATGACCCAGAATAAGAGAGTGTGACATTTTGCTTTCTTTAATTGGATACAATTTAGATAGTAGTTGATCAAAAACCTAACATATTATATTCTCCTCCCTCTTCTTTATTTATATATATATATTTTTTTTTAACTGTTTAGGGCTGGTGAACCAACCAGTTTTGTTCTTCAGTTGGGGAAATGCTTTTTATTTTGTTAGTGCTGCCCTTACATTAGGCGTGTCCACTTCGCAGCACAAATGACTCGATCGATGACCCCAAGAGCAAAGTACATGGAAAACACTCTTGTCTGGGTACCTGAAATGTCTGTTTCTGTATGTCACAAAGGCTCTGTGCCTGTTTTCCTGGCCAGGGACTCCTAGATCTCTCAAGCATGAAACACGCTATTGCAAACTGAGTTAGTTTCTGGACTTATTCCTGTCTTTCTTTGGATCAACAGAAAACATTTGAATTGGAATGTACAAGCAAAAATCTATTAAGCGAATTTGTATTAATTCTTGCC